CCATACCTGCCAATTTTTCTAAAACTTTATTTTAGAAAAATAAAGTTAAATTCCACGCAGACGTAGTCGAGTATACAGCTAGTATATTTATTTATTTATTCAGATATTTCAGGCAACTAGACCCATATTATAAATACCTTATAGACTAACATACATATAATATAATATTTAAAAACTAATACAATGATATTGTCTGTGTGATCACGGACTTAAGACGGCAATCTGCCACGGTAGCGCCGATATACCACACCTTTCGGCCAGTAGTCCTCTTTCATGAAGGTGGGCAGCAAGTTGGTGGGGACCAGGGCCACAAACGCTTTGAAACTCGCGTTGTGACTCGACTTCAGCTACGTCACCCTCAATGTCAGGTTACTCTTGGGTCGTATATAATCGAGAATGTCCTGCTCCTTAATGATTAGTAATATTGATGTAATAATAATAATAATCTAATAATAATCTCAGGACAATTCACACAGCGCCATCTAAACCTAAGCTAGCTAAAGCTTGTGTCCTAGACAAATGATACAAATACATAGATATTTTTTTTCGTAAATACATACCTAGACCGATACAAACAATCATACTCATAAATACAAATGTTTGTGCTGTGCGAGGAATCGACCCGCGACCATCGGACGTAGCGGTGTGCTAGACCGCTAGACCACCGAGGTTGTGATGTAGTATAACATAATACATCTATGGTGATTTTACTTTGATGATTGTAGTGGCACCACACGTACACACATCGACACACCCCTAGTCCTTGTAATGAATATAAATAAACCTAACACGTGGAAGGAATATTCAAAATTATATATTAACAACTAGATGACCCGGTAAATGTTGTTTTACCATGTGAAGTATTAATATAGCTATTAAGAAATAGGGCTTTGCCATGTTAAGTATAAAATATTAAAGAATAGGGATCGATGGTAAAAAAATTGAATTGTATGTATTTTTTAATGACGAATCTTAAAGAATAGAATAGATCATTTATTCAAATAAACTTACTTTGAAGCACTTTTGAATAGTCATCACATTTTTTTTAATCTACCGCTTATTCGGAAAGATGTCTCGTCACAAGAAGAACGAGCAAGAAACTTGCGTGTTGCTCTTTTAAATAATTTTATTGTTACTTTACATTTTTAAGTTCAAGTGTGTGAATACAAACTACCAATTAGTATTAATTCAATTAAATACTCAAATAGAAAAGATATTAAATATACAACCAATTTGTTAAACAATTAATAAGAGGAAATCAGTCATAGTGATTAAAGCAGACCGGTCCCTACGAGCAGCACCCGTTCACGAGTATGACGGATGAGCCAGCCATCACTGCGCTCGACTATATTTTAGGGAGCCCAATGACCCGGCCTACCACGCCGCCACATGTCTGGACATTTTACTGAGCATGACTACTCAAAACACCAGACCACGTCATAGCTACTTACAGTTGCCATCTGATAGTTATAGTATTCACATTTTAGGATATGAAATGAAATAATCTTTATTCAAATAAACTTAATATAAGCAGTAGAATAGAATAGAATAGAAAATCATTTATTCAAATAAACTTACATTGAAGCACTTTTGAATAGTCATAACATTTTTTTTTTAATATACCGCTCATTCGGAATGCTGTCTCATCACAAGAAGAACAAGCAAGAAACTTGTGTGTTGCTCTTTTAAATAATTTATTCTTACTTACAATTTAAGTTTAAGTGTGTGAATACAAAACCAGTTTTGAATAGTCACCTTTTTTTCTACCACTCATTTGGAATGCAGACTCATCACAAGAAGAATGAGCAAGCAACTCATGTGTTGCAAAATCTATACAACAAGACTTTTAAGATAGTAATTCAGAGTTGAAATATCTCACTTTTTTGGATGGTAACTCAGTTTCATCTAAATTATCTGCTATTACATTCAGCATCTCATATTTCGGAGTGCGTCTACAAAATCTTGCGTGCAAACACGTTGAAAGTTTAATCGGAACGGGTCGTACTGCCGGCTTTATGTCCAAGTCAATAAAGAACTTCTCAATTACCCTAATGAACGATTGATGAGTTTGCCCCAGTTTTGCGTAGCCATTATAATTTCGTTTAAATCCGAATAGTGAAGGGTTGCACCGAAATATGGACTTATAATTTTTATTTTGCGGAAGTCCATTTCACTACTTAATTGATTTATATTTATTTATTTATTGACATCAAACTAAGCGAGTTTTTTTTTATACTATTATATATACTATGGTGGCAATAAAGCATACGGCCCATCTGATGGTAAATGGTTACCGTAGCCTATGAACGCCTGAAACACCAGGGGTATCACTTGCGCGTTGCCAACCCTTAAGAAACCTTAATATACCCTTCTTGAAAAACCCCATGCTGTAGTTCCGTGGGAAAACCTCGGCAGGAAGTTCATTCCACAATCTAAGTGAACGCGGGAGGAAACTCCTCTGAAACCGCACTGTTCGGGACCACTTAGGTTCCAGTGTGTGGGGATGAATTCCCTGTCGATGGCGAGCGGTGCGGTGGTAAAAGGTAGCTATCGGCATCATGTCGAACAATTCCTCAGAACACAGTCCGTTGTATAATCGGTAGAACACACAAAGCGAGGCGAAGTCTCGCCTCGAGCTGAGTGGCTCGATACCGCCAGAGAGATTGGGATCATCGACAATTCTCATAGCATGTCTCTGAACCGAGTCAAAAGGACCGAGCTGGTATCCAGGTGCTCCCGCCCAAAGATGAGCAGTACTTCATGTGCGGCCGAACCTGTGACTTACATAAGGAAAGTCTCTGGTCCGCAGTGAAGTACCGCCTCGCTCTATTGAGCACACCGAGCTTCTTGGACGCCAGCTTTACCTTTTCTTCCAGGTGACTGCGGAACTCAACAGCACTAGAGATGTCGACACCGAGAATCCCAAGCCTTACAGCTTCCCAATATACTCGCTTAGGAAAAAATGTACAAAATATGAAATATTAATAATTATAAAACATATTAAAACAATAACAACAATTTTACGTGTTATTTAGGAAATTCTGCTATTATTTTGTTTAATTCCGCTACAGTTAGCATCTGTGAGACCACAAATATTCGGTGTGGAAACTTGACTACCGTTACGACCTTCTCTAATGGTGATCAAATTCAAAATAATATAAATCCATTCAGTAGTTACGATTTGTTTGTTTAAAAAAAAAAAAAAAGATAACTGTAGATTTATTTTTATATAAATAAATAAATAATCTCTGTTTAATTAATTCACACAGAAAAATTGCCATCTATTTTGAAGCCTTAAATAACTGTAGGTACTTAAACCATTATATCACTTAAAAAAACTTTTACAACTGATACAAATACATAGATATATATATATTTTTTTAGTTCGTAAATACATACATATTATACATAGAAAATACCCAGACCGATACAAACAATCATACTCATGAATACAAATGTTTGTGCCGTGCGATGCACTAGCTGATCGAACCCGCGACCATCGCTTTTGATGTATATTATCGTAAAGTTTAATCAAAATCCATATTATAAAGTAAAAATATTCGTCTACTAACTGAGTGAGCGAGCAATTTTTTTTTGTTCTTGGTTTATCCTCGATCAGAATGTCTATTATAATCGGATTGGAGTTTTAAGGATTGAAGTTTGTGAGTATGGATGGTTTTGTTTTTTGTGAGACACACCGAGGTCGTCGTCGTTTGTTTATTATACACTAGTTGATCCCGCAGTTTCACGCACGTGAAAATTATAGCTTATGTGTTATTTTGATGTATATTATTGTAAAGTTTCAAAATCCCTCCAATCCAGTAGTTTAGCATGAAATAGTAAAAATATCAGTCTACCATTATTATAAATGCGAAAGTTTGTGAGTATGGATGTTTTTAATAATAATGGAACGGTGCACTTCTGCGATAACGGTTTACGCTGGCGGGGCACCAGTGAGAGATGATAAGATGAACATGAGCATGATGATCGATGATGAGTTACTCAGTCAGTCACCCCAACGTGACAAATTCACTAGGAATTTATCATCATGATTTCCAGAAGGAACCGCGTGAAGTTCGACTTAACATGGTAGATTGCTAGCAATGGAAGTTACTAGTTCCCATTACTGACAATCCCCTAATGGATGATTAGATTACAGATTTTAATTAAATAAAAATTAAATTATCATCATCACTACATAGTATAAAACAAAGTCGCTGTCGTTGTCTGTCCGTCCCTACTCCCTATGCTTAAATCTTTAAAACTACGCAACGGATTTTGAATCGGTTTTTTAATAGATAGAGTGATTCAAGAGGAAGGTTTATATATATAATACATGTACACCCGTGCAAAGCCGGGGTGGGTGGCTAGTAAATGATAATTATAAGTGTAAGTATAAATAATTTATTTTTTATTTATTTATTTATTCAAATAACGTACAAATATTACCAAATTTATTATGCATTGTACCCCGCACTAGGCGAACCTGTATCGCGGGAGTCCACAAAAAAATTGCCAAATAATTATTTACTATTATACTGATCAGTGAGTTTGACATATCAGACTAAATTAATATTTTTTTAAATTAATTTCATAAAAAATACAATTGTTGACTATATAAAACATGAAACAAGATAAACAGAAAATAGAATAAAAAGAAAACCTAAAGATCAACATCATATTTCTTGCGATGATATGTGTGCATAGTCAAATTATTCAAATTACACCATGTTAACCTTCTTATTAAATTATTGATTGAATGGGATTTTAGGAATACGTAATACTATTTAAAATTTGTTCAGTGGCATCATAGTCTAATTTTTGTAGGTAATGTTTTACCTTGTGTTTAGCTTCAATCTTGGTAATATTTTCCAACTTGCAAAGCGCATGAATTTTTCCATATAAGAACGGGAACGAGTATGTGCTAAATCGTTTGGCAAAAGTAGTTCTAACGCCAGGAATCCTTATATTGCGTCTTCTCTGGTGTGATGACAAATCAGTTAGTTGTGGAGAGTTATGATGCGAAAGAGCTGCCTAACTGTGAGGACCGCTGCCTCTTGGTGTAAAAGATACGTGGGAAATCGGAAAGGTTTTCCAAGCATAACTTTGAGAACAGATCTTTGTGCCCTTTCAATTGAGATCATATGAGTCTTTGATGCCCCACCCCATGCAGTTATGCAATACATCAGCAACGACTGAACGACAGTATGATATACTTCTAGTAATTTAAGACGCTGATCTGACCGTATGGTTTTAATTTCCACGTCCGCGAGCCTTTCTTGGCATTCATTTAGTGATGTGAACATTTCCGTTACTTTATCTGTCAGTTTCGATACATCTTGTCTGAGTAAGCGGATTTCGGAAATCAGAGTACCCAAGCTTACCTCTGCATCTGATGATTTGTCATTCGACACAATAACTTTGTTTTTTGTACGCAAAGTAACGTTACCGCTAGTGTATGATGTTTTGACTGGAGTATTTGAGTTATCACCTCCTTTTTTTAAATTGCAACGACATTTTTGACAAACCCAATTACGTGGGTCTTCTGGAAGAGACGGCCCTATGCATATGTCACGATGGAATGACGTTTTACAAGATTCTATGCTACATGTAATGAAGTTATTATCCATTATGTCCTTCAAACATGCACCACATTTTCGATTACTCTTAGTGGCCATTTTATTGCTGTCAAAACTGTTACTATTTGATGTGTGTGTGTTACCTTTAGCTTCGACGAAATGTATAAGTTAAATCAAATAATTCACAAAAAATGACAGTGTGGTGGGATTTGAACTTCGGCTCTTTGTGCTAAATAAACCGTAGCAATTTATGCAACGTACGTTTACGTTACGTAGCAACAGACGATGATGTTAATTGATGAAATTTGTGATCCTATACCCTATATGTACAGTTCCTTCAGTAGGTAGAAATTTACTTAGTCATGATGATTCATTAACAAACAATGCAACACTCACGGCTTCCAATACGGCCGGTCACTGGAATATTCTTAACTTCTTTTGATTATTTAAGTGTATAAACTTGAAATTATTTCTCGCTGCTTGTAGTTATGTTACAGTCAATATTACTTTTCAACTTAATGTATAACTTTGTGCAAAAATATAAAGTTTTTGAGGTGTTATTGTATTTAAATATACGGACCAACAATAACGTGTCTTCACTGCACAGTCACAAGTCTATACTCTATAAATATATATATATTAGGGTATGGTGTTTTGGTGCGCAGGCGCGGTAATGTCGCGTGTTCGATGACATTGTCAGTAAAGATGGTCTATTGTTGTTAGAGAATAAATTGTTAAAGTTACTATAATTATAATTTTTAGTGTAAGTGGTAAAGTTTCACATTTAATAAATATTAAGGTATGCACTGTAGTGCACCGGCGCGGTATTGTCACGTTGGTGCGTGTTCGATAACACAGTAGGTTAAAGATGAACTATTGTTATATGCAAATAAATTAATAATGATAATTGTTAGTATTAGTCTCACATTAAAAAAATATTAAGGTATGATCTATTGGTGCGCAGGCGCGGAAATGTCGCGTTGCCGCGTGTGCGATGGCGCCGGGTGAGCGCGCGGCTCGGCTAGGCGCCCATGCGCGCCTGGCTCGTGGTGTGTGCGGCGCTGGCACTCGCGCCGTGCCGAGCGACCGCCGCGCGCCCGCCGCAGGACGCCGCGCGCCTCGAGCGCATCAAGTCGCACATACTCGCCAAGGTGACACAGCCCTTACACTTCCTATAATAATAGCCAAGACACAAATCCACAAGAATTCATACAACGCCATCTAGTTTCAATCTAACCAGAGTTCGTCGTAGTGACAAAGCCTTTATGGCTTCTGTAGTAATAATAATCACTCTGGACAATTCACACAGCGGCATCTAGTCCCAAGCTAATCAGCGCTCGCCAAGGTGACAGATATTTTGGATTCTATAGTTATATCCCTTGACATACAACGCCATCTAGTCCCAAGCTAAGCAGAGCTAACTTCTGTAATAATAACTCTGGACAATTCATACAGCGCCCTGAGCGCATCACGTCGCACATACTCGCCAAGGTGACACCGCCCCTACACCTTCTATAGTAATAACCTATGACGATATATATAGAGCCATTTTGGATTCTATAGTAATAACCATGGACAATTCATAGAGCGCCATCTAGTCCCAAGATAAGCAGCGTTAACTTCTATAATAATTTCATATTTCACCATCTAGTTTCAAGCTAATTTGCGCTCGCCAAGGCTTTGTGGGTTCCGTAGTAATATCCCTTGACAATTCACATAGCGGCATCTAGTCCCAAGCTAAGCAGAGCTGACTTTTATAATAATAAATCTGGATAATTCACGCCTTGAGCGCATCAAGTCGCACATACTCGCCAAGGTGACACCGCCCTTACACCTTCTATAAGAACAACCCTGGACAAATCTCACAGAGCTTTTTGGATTCTATAGTAATAACCTACTACGATTCACACAGTGCCAGCCCTTACAGTAATAGCATTAAGTCATAACGCCATCTAGTTTCTCTAACCAAGGTCGTAGTGACACCGCCCTTGGACAATTCTATAATAATCAGCAAGGTGACAGATATTTTTGGATTCTATAGTTATATCCCTTGACATACAACGCCATCTAGTCCCAAACTAAGCAGAGCTAACTTCTGTAATAATAATACTCTGGATAATTCACACAGAGCCTCTATGGATTCTATAGTAATAACCTACAACAATGCGCACAGCGCCATGTAGTCCCAAGTTAAGAAGCAGAGGTAACTTCTATAATAAAAACCCTGGACAATTCACACAGCGTCATCTAATCCCAAGCTATTGCTGTTGTGGTAACTAGGCAACTGTGTGGATAGATACCTAATAACATTTTTTTTAAATGCATAAATAATATACATATAAACAGTCATACTCATGAATACAAATATTTATACCATGCCAATAATAGAAGTTTCGGCCCACTGCTTCTAGCAAAATATATAAAATATGCAATATTGCAGCTGGGTCTTACGTCGCGGCCGACGCCGCAGGGCGCGCCGCCCCACGACGTGGTGCGCCAAATCCTGGCTCGCGCCGCTGATCCTCAGCCCCGGGTGCATCCGGACACGCACCACGACAACGAGCACGCTATGAGGGAAATCATAGCGATAGCACATAGAGGTATTTCCAGCTCCGTTCCTACCTTCCCACTCCGCTCCTCTCCACATAAGCACACGACACCGTCCTCGACCGCGAGGACGTTGACCCTAACCACACTATTTTATGCACAGAATAATAATGAGACATATTTTTTCTAAACTGTGGCTCATTGTTTAATTTTTTTCTTTTTTCAAATTGCTAAGTTTATAGTAAGGTACAGTTAATTTTAAACTTTAGCAATTACTACACGTTAACTATTTCAATGGTGTAGTTACAAAATACTAAATGGTTTTCTAAGATCCTCCAAAACGCACACATTTCATTTGTAATTTTGTCCGAAATTACAAGCCGAGTCGCAAAAAGACTAATTTAAATTTGTCATAATTAAATTATTGGTTTGTATTTTTTATTATATTTATGTATCTGAAACAAAACATATATGTAAGTAAGTTCACGAAAAAACCGGTGACAACAAATAACTGAACATCTTAATCTAAAAATTCAAATATATAATCCCAGACTGGCTAGCCTATTTATTTATTTATATTCGGAAAACCAAAGCTATATACAAACGTAGAGATAAATAAAATACAATCAGAAAGGCTACTTATAGGTTTTCACAGCTAGTAATTTTATACACACATTATCAAATTCTGACTTCTTCTTCAGAGGTCTTTTATGGGAATAGGTATAAAAATTTACAATAAGATACCAAAGGATATGTTGGAATTACCCTTAAATAAATTCAAAACATCTGTTAAATCATATTTACTGAGCAAAGCCTATTACATACTCACTAATCGATTTCTTGAATGACGAGTAGGCATGGCAATAGTTGTTCATGCACTGAATTTTCATTTAATGTTAGACATAGACACCTATATAAAAATACATTGTAAATAAACTGGCTTTAAAATAAAAAAAAGTAATTCAATTGAGTTTCTTGCCAGTTCTTCTCAATTGTATCTATATACCGAACTGGACGGTAGGGAAAAATAAATTTAAAATGTAAAAATTTGACGTTCATAAGCGGCTAAAATGTCCTACATTAATAAATGATTTTTGAATTTTGAATTTTGAATTTGACTTGGTGACAATAGAACCACTTATGTAAGTACAAAACCTTCCAAACAAGAAAAAGGATGGTAAAAATCCACAATTAAAGAAGTTATCCACGAAAACACACAAAGAGCATACATAATTGTTAATTTCTGAAGTCAATTAAAATTGGTATTTATTTCATCGAATTAGGTGTTATATTTAATTACTTAATGGATTTATATGATTTTGTTTAATTCCGCTATAATTAGCATGTGTGAGACCACAAATATTCGGTGTGGAAACTTGACTACCGTTACGACCTTCTCTAATGGCGATCAAATTCCGACCGTTATTGAGTCTACACCCATATTGCGACACGTGTTTCGCCTCTGAACGAGGCATCATCAGTCGTTGAATAGAGTTCAGATGTAGCTTGGATGTCAACACTACCAGCTACAAATATTCGGTGGGGAAATCTGACCACCGTTACTGGACAGAGAAACTCGTAGGTACCAGTAACGGTGTTAAATTATTCTCTAAAATTGTATTATATAAAGTTTTTACTTTACTTACTCTCTAAATTACAAAAAATTAATAAGTGTTAGAATATTTATCGACCATATATAATAGATACAACATATATAATACATGTTCAATACCAAATTAACTAAAAAGAAGCAATATAACTCATACAAAATTCAATAATTAGGTTAATCATAGTCGTCTGGACTGTTATACTATAATATCTACAATTCTGTCTGGGTATTGTCTGTCTGTCTGGCATATGCCTGTGTTAATATACATTACAATAGCTATAATATATCAACTAGTCTGAACACAGTCTAGTCTATTATATAATGAACGTTTTGTTATTAATGACTTATTCATATTGTAATTGTCTGGACGTTATAACATTATTTTGGCAAATAAAAGACACTTAAATTGTCTATAGAGTACTACATTACACAAAAAATTGAAGGTCTTATACAATAGGGCCTGAAGTAGATTTTTTTTATTATTTTTTATTTTTACTCCTAGTTTTTATTTTTTCCGTTTTGCTATTATATTATTTCTAGTATGTATCTTTATGAATAAAAATTATCAGAATGAATATAAGTTAAATAATAATATGTATAAATATATAATTAAAGAAATACATGTAATAGTCTTATTTTGGAAAATAAAAACTTTTTTATTTATTTTATTTATAATGCCTTTTGAATTATTGGCTGGTAATTCACTAGGTATCTACCATTTATTTATTTATATATATTTCTTTTCTTGTCAAATATACGTAATATAAAATAGATTTATTACTTGGTTGATTATAAATTTTATTCATAAGTAAATTAAGGCTGATATTTCTTTCAATAATCCATAAAATCATTTGTTTCTGAAATGTTAATTGAAAATTCAAATTTCTACTTTAATTGCGTATTGGTGGATTTTATAATTTAGTATTATAAAAATAAGATATATAATGATTTTTTTAATTTATGTGTACATTTAGAAATGACCCATCTATAACTTCAATATATTTAAGACGTTAAGAATATATATTAGACTAGTAGAACTGGCCACGCGTTGCTGTGGCTAAGGTTCTTGAATAAAATAATATTGCGACTATAAATTGAGATGTAAGCTATCCTATCTTTCAAGTTGGATCAAATTGCACACAATGTGCTAATCAAATTTGCAATCAGTTCAGTAGTTTAAGAGTCCATCGCGGACAAACAACGTGACACGTAATCTTTATATATAAATAAAATTGGAGTGTCTGTTTGTAATATTGAAATAACCATTTTTTACAAGCATATGAACATACACCAAAATATCATTTTTTACAATTTTTGTCCGACTGTTTGTTGTGGCAAATCTCTGAAATGGCTGGACCGATTTTGACGGAACTTTTTCTATCAGGTAGCTGATGTAATAAGGAATAACATAGACTACTTTTTTAAAAAGTAACTTGATGAGAATATGTATGTGTAATATTTTTCTGAGTTTGATTCCAGATTTTAGACAAAGTTATAAGAAGCTGACTGGTGACTAACCGAAATGTGAGTATTATTAATACATATATAAAATTGAACTGTCTGTTTGTAATACTAAATTAACAGCTTTTTACTATATGCACTAATGGTCGGGCCTGAAAAGGATTGCCTCCGTTTATAACCTGGAACCCGACCAGGGGGTATAAAAAGAAGATAGCTCAGTTTTGAAAGGTTAAGTAGGGATGCGTACAATGGCTTGCATAAGATAAAAATAAGACTCACAGTTGATGGCTGGAGCGATTTCTTGAAGGCTTGATTTCACTGGAACTGATGCAGCTTGTCTTCCAAAGCTTGACTACACTTTTCACTGCCTAAGAGCTAGCCCAGCACAAACTTATTTAATTTAGTATATTGTTACTTGAATTGAAACTCTGCCGCCATTACCGCATCTCGAAGCGCCTGTGACGTGGGGGAAAGGAGATTGTTAGTAACGTGGACTGATGATCTTATTGCTAGCAATGTACCATGTCAGGTTGACCTCCACGCGGTTCCCCCTGGAAACTAGCGTGATAAATTCTTGGTGAATTTGTCAGGATGGGCTCCACTGACCACCTCATGTTCTCTTGACAGCTTTTTTTGTGCCCCGCCAGCGTAAACCGTTAGCGCAGGCGGGTGCACCATTACATTAGTTTGGCGACACCACCGGTTTCTCTGCCTAATGTAAGGGAAGGGAAGTCGAAGCAGCTAGCTGCTTGGCGGCTTTGATATATGCTACAGAAATACTTATGCAGATGACTTTGTTCAAAGTGTAATTTCATACTGAACTTAGGTACTAACTATTCGTTACCTCCCCGGAAATGATAAGCAATGACGTCATCATAGTATCCTGTAATGATACTTCCTGCTTACTTAACAGTAATATCTAATTTGATTGCTATATATATATTTTTTTCAGATGGCGTTATTCTGCATGCTTCTGGATGCATCTGAATGCATCTGGATATATCTGGATGCAAATTAATTGAAAGAATATGGCGGACCGTGAGTTGAAATCATTCACGAGCTGTTTTAGGTATGTACATATTTAAAATAACAATTATTATTAATAATAATAAGTAAGTGTGGTATATGTCACAAAGCACAGTAAAAACTAGCTATTACGGCTGGCAACGGCAGTGAAATAGGGTAATATAAATAAAATTACTTACCAAAATTATAGATGTATTTAGTGGTAGCGTATATGACACAATGTAGCAAAACAATATAATAAAAAATATATGGTTTAAAAATAGAAATATCTATAAAAAGAAGTCTGTCGCCAACACTAGCAAAAGCTGTGAAAATGAAGATTACAAATAATAATAATAATCTCAGGACAATTCACACAGCGGCATCTAGACCCAAGTCAAGCCAGCTAGAGCTTGTGTTATGGATGTACTAGATAACTGATACAAATACATACATATATATATTTATAAATACACATATAATATACAAAATTGAAGAATTCGTTAATAGAAAAACTTAAAATCCATAGCACTGACAATATTATCTGGTTGCACTAATAATGAGTGCGTAGCGATTTCTGTGTTAATCATCGCATGCATCTTACTTGATATAATTACAGTAATTATTTATATAAAAAATATCTATTAAAAAGAGCAACACACAAGTTTCTTGCTCATTCTTCTTGTGATGAATCTGCATTCCGAATGAGTGGTAGAATCAAAATATGACTATTCAAAAGTGTTTGTAATGAGTTTATTTGAATAAAGATTATTTCTATTTCTATACATAGGAGACATCCAGACAGATAAAAACAATCATACTCGTGAATACAAATAATTGCATAGTGCGAGGAATCGAACCGGCGACCATCGGAAGTAAGGCGATGTCAACCGCCAGACTACGGAAGCCCTACATTTGTAATGTATCTTTAATTTGTAACATAAGCGTGTACTAAGAAATATTTTTTTAAATATCCACTTAATACGCATGCAAAGCAGAGAGAAAGAACTAGTCTTGTGTAGAGATTAATCCTGTGGTACAATTAAATAAATAAACAATCTCAGGACAATTAAACACAGCGCCATCTAGTCCCACTGTAAGCAGAGCTCGTGTTATGGGTACTAGACAACTGATATAAAAACATAGATTTTTTTTAAATACATAGAAAACACCCAGTCAGATACAAACAATCATACTACGTGCTACGAGGAATCGAACTCGCGACCATCGGAAGTAAAGCGGTATGTTTAACCGCTACACCACCGGAGCCGTCGAATTAAATCTAGAAAAAGTCGCACCAACTATACGCAGCAACTAAATAAAGAAAGAAAACGCAATAAAATATATAAAATCACATCTCCAACCATAGCGCTCTGATTGCATATCCTGTCTTCCCACCGAGAATTCCATGCGATTTTCGACTCTATTCATTCACGTTTAAAATCCAGAATTGAATGAAGTAAATTTTTTAATGTACATTTCAGTCGAACGATTTTCAGTTTTATGCGCAAGGACATAAGGGCTATATGATAATTTGAGTTTTGTATCCGCAACCGCTGACATTTGGGTGGTAGCCAGAATGCGAGTACGTCCTGGTTTGCGTTCCAGTTTAAAAAAAATGTCTTAGATTTAATGTTTCCAGTGTCCTTTTTAGTTCTGTCTAGAATTCCGCACTGAGCTAGTGAATTATACCTATATATACATACAAGCTGTGCGCGCAGTTTCAACCGCGTCAAATTTATAGCCTATGCAGAGCTGGGCACCGTTAATCAAATAGTTAACTTCGTTAATCGTTAAACCGCTAAAAAAAAGTTTAGCTCACCTACAATTCCGATGGTCGCGGGTTCGATTCCTAACACGGTACAAACATTTATATTCATAAATACGATTGTTGTTATTCCATGTACCTATATTGATATACTATATGTACGTGACTTCGTCCACGTGGAATTTAACTTTACTTTTCTAATATAAAGGTAGCCTAAGTTACTCCTTATTACATCAGCTACCTGCCAAAAGATGTCCCGTCAAAATCGGCCCAGTCATTTTAGAGATTAGCCGGAACAAACAGACAGACAGACAAAAATTGTAAATAACGTTAATTTAGTGTATGTACCGATTTATATTCATATGCATGTAGTAAAAAACGACTATTTCAATATTACAAACAGACACTCCAATTTTATTTATATGTATAGATATATGATTAAAAATCATTTGAAATATTGTGGTGCATAAAGATCAAGGTCCGTTAATGGGCTCGTTGACTCAACAGGGAGGTGTGACCCTTGATAGCAGGCCATTGCCCTTAACACATCCCATACGATTTGCAACTCCGTGTGAATGGAAGTTAAATTATTTATTCCACATTGTGGAATCACCATCCAGGAATGGTAATTGCTAACCATTACGCCAGAAACATAAGTACCGTCTCGATTACTTTATAATAATAACAATAAACTCGTCGACTTAATTCTGCCGGTTATGTGGTAAGAAGAATTAGACAATTAACAGACGTGGCAACGGCTCAACTTGTCTATTTTAGCTATTTCCATAGCATGTCGTATGGTATTTTGTTATGGGGCAAAGCAGCTGATATAAATACAATATTTACTTTACAAAAGAGATCCATTCGCTCCATTTATGGTATGGGTTCCAGGGAGTCATTGCGAGAGTGCTTTAAGGAAACAAATATACTCACCGTTGCTTCTCAATACATTTATGAAAATATCATGTATGCCAGGAAGAATATAGACAGTTTCAAAAGAGTTAGTGATTACACCAATAAAAGCTTACGTAACAATAACAAACTGATTTTACCTAAATGTCGTTTGGCTAAAGTTAGTAATTCGTTTTATGGCAATTGCGTAAGGTTTTACAATAAAATACCAGAGTATGTTATAAATCTGCCAGAAAAAAGATTTAAATGTCAAATAAAACAGTTCCTTTGCAAAAAAGCTACTATAAAATTGAAGAATTCCTTAACGATAATAATGTTTTTATAGAAAAAGTTTAAATCCATAGTACTGACAATATTATCTGGTTACACTAATAGTGAGTGCGTAGCGACTTCTATGTTGATTATCGCATGCCTCTTACTTGTTATACTGTAATTATTTATATAAAAAAACATCTATTAAAAAGAGCAACACACAAGTTTCTTGCTCATTCTTCTTATGATGAATCTGCATTCCGAATGAGTGGTAGAATCAAAATATGACTACTCAAAAGTGCTTATAATGAGTTTATTTGAATAAAGATTATTTCTATTCTAAAATAAAGCCGAGAATAAAAATAATAATACTAGCAATAGAATTAAAAAGACAATGGAAAGCACACACCATCCACATAGTACCCATAGTTTTGTCATCCACAGGAATTATACCAAAAAGTCTGAACAAACACGTAGACACGTTGCATATCCCCTCCTCTACAACAGAACTATTACAAAAAGCCGTCATTTTCAACACATGCCGTATTGAAAGAAAATTTCTTCATCACATAACTCATCTATGGTTGGCTAAGGCCCACGTGTTTGAATATATTACCTCCGTAAAAAGGGTGATATAATATATACATATATATAATAATAATAATTATTATTATTGTTGGCGAACGGCCGCCGCAACATCTTTTGATACTTTTATTATTTTTAAACCTATATTTTTAGAACAGTTCTTTTTATGCGTCATGATTTTTGATACATTTCAATTATTCTATTATTGTCTTTCGTACAGTTCGCAATTGCACATATTAATGTATTATATTATTTCAAACTACGTGTTTTCATCATTTAGACATACAGTACATAGACCCATACAGTCCACAGATCCATTACAATTATTATATCTTGTAAGGAGCATTTGTATAAGATGATGACTTAGGCTTTGAAGCCGGCTACCGCAAGGGAAACCCCAAGTAGCGCCCGTGACTTGCGACACGGGTGTAGGTTTAAAAGGCCCTTTTAGAATGCATTAACACTCACCTTCACTACTTGCAGCTTCCCCCCAGGCCCAACTAAGACCGGGATAAACCTATTCCTAATACAATTCACTTTAGTATCCAAAACACAACCGGCACGCTCTGCGCTCGTCGACTGAATGCCGCGGCTCACCCAACCAAAGAGGATTATTCAACTACCGACCTCCGTATTTATAGACCGAAGTCAGTGTAGTAGGAAGAGAAGCGGAGGTAACGGTTATCTTCTGACAAACAACGTGGTTCGGTCTATAAATACTAGATGGCGCTATTTACCAAATAGATCATATTAGATACTCAATTATATTCATAATCTTACAATCTAAACTTCAAAAAAAAATCTCATCTCCCCTCTTAAGGAGAGGAGATGGCAACTTACACCCGGCAGAAGCACAGTCGGCCGTGGTTCAGGGCCCCAGTGAGAGAAACCGGCGTACAATGCGGGCAGAATCTAAGAGCACCGCTTTCTGCATCTTTCCCGGGAGTGAGCCGCCTCGGAATCCCAAACGTCTGAGATGTTGTTCCAGACTGGATGGGATAAGACCGTTCACCGACATAACGATTGGAATGATTTTGGTGGACATCACCCCCTACATTTCGGTCACCTCGTGAGCCAGGTCGAGATATTTTCTCTTTTTCTCAGTTATTTTTATTATTATTATAAAATACCACGATCTTGCAATAGAGGTAAAAACACAATGGCGAGCTGATACTGTACATACTGTACCTATTGTACTTTCTTTTGCGGGTATTGTACCCAAAACAGACGACCTCGGTGGTCTAGCGGTCTAGCACACCGCTTTACGTTCGATGGTCGCGGGTTCGATTCCTTGCTCGGCACAAACATTTGTATTAAATTTGAATTAATTTGTAAAATGTTATTTTGGTGTATGTACCGTATTTATATCCATATGCATGTAGTAAAAAATGATTATTTCAATATTACAAACAGACACTCCAATTTTATTTATATGTATAGATTTATCCCGCAGCTTATCATAATAATTCGTTGCAAGGTAAAATATAAGTTTATTATAAACCAGCTACTCGCCCCGGCTTCGCACGGGTGTATATATATTATATATA